GTCCAGGATTGTCTCTAAAAAGCCCGCCTTATCCTAATTCGGTTTGTAAGTGTGATGTCACTTCAGTTTTAACCGTGCCCACTGTACAAGTGCACTGCACATAGGGTTTTACATGCATTGATCTCCAGTATGTAGACTGGATAGGACATTGCGTCCAAAACGCGTCCCGCACATGCGTATTTTCAGGAGGGTAAATGACGAGCGTTGCGAATTTCGTTGCGTCTACTTTCAAAATGGAGTTTTTCACATACCGGTTGGGGTTTTTGTGCTCCATCTAATCGTAAGATTAAAAAAAAACTGAATTCCGCACCTGGAATTGATAAATTTGGAAAGAATAATGGTTGAGATGTACGCAGCAGTGAAATACCGGAAATCAAGTCAAGTCAGGGTATGAGCTCAACTTTAATTTTTAAGCTGATTAAATATATGAGTGAATTTTACTTCCATTTTTTTTTCACTGGAAATTCAAGATTGTGGCAAGAAGATCACTTTTCGTTTCAATTTGACGGGGTTAGCCGCGAAAAAGATTTTTATTTGCCTTTCCCCAAAGATACTCCTAAAATAGTAGTAAGACTATGCGCTCAACTCTGAAGGTAGCCGCCCACCTCTATCCAAAATGGGCCCGCAATTTTTTTGGCTTTTTGTACAAGAAGTACCGGGACCTGGAAATTACCAGTCCAAAATTTGGGATTTATAGAATATTTCTATGATCCCTCCTTACTGTAAAAAACCCAGAGGGATCACAAATTACTAATGAGCTTGCGCGCAGAATTCCAACCATTTGGTGAAATGCGTCCGACTGTGCTGCTTCCACATTAATTTGAAATAGCGCCCTCAAGTTTTGTGTTACATATTACATAGGTGTCCAGTCTTGTGTGTGCGACATTCAGGAACTAAATAGTAAAACCGCATGTTTTGTGAGATTATGACCACTTTGACATTTTCCGGTATGTCAGTCGTGTTTGCCGAATTCACCTATTTGGGGGGAGGGGTCCGGTTTTATGCCCTCATCCCCCAAGGGTTTGAAATAACAGGTACATTTTGGAAGTATTGAGTTTGAAAAGGAAGCTACTTGACTATGCCATTTTTGTAACTCCGAATTCTGATATTAAACTCATGTACTTGTGGTGTGTGTGTGTGTGGGGGGGCAGGATGGCCTATGCGCCTTTTCAGGCGACAATGGGGTAAAACCCAAAGCTAATATTGATTTGACATCCATTGCAATCTCGATGTCGTTTTCTGTTGTTGAAATTCCAACAACTATAGGGATTGTTCCTTTTTTTCGTTTTTATTTCATTATTTTCCTGTCGTATTTTTCGGGCAGACCTGTCTGACTAGAGTAAGTGATGGATCAAACATTCACATTCAAGAAAAGGAGCGGCAGATGCAACGCATCTGTGGCAACTTTGCGGTAACCCAAGAAGATATGGGACGTATATTTTGTGAGAATTTTTCTTTGAAAATATCAAATTACTCTGCAGTTGTAAGCCAACGAAATTTGTTGTTATAACAAATGAAAATGCATTTCCATCAATAAAAAAGGAAGGCGTGCGCCGCCCGACAAGGGAGGAAACGAGACAAGCCCCTAAGCCCTGGATCTCTTAATACTGTTGAATCTTCGATAATAAACATTATACGCCTGAGAGCTTTTATACTGAGATCACTGAGAAGAAATGGACCCAAGACAGTTGGGATCGGTTTCACTGTCGAAAGTTTCGGAAATGAATAAAAATAAATCAACATCAATCCTGTAGCTCACTGTATTCAAACCTGGAAAATTGCCTTGTGGGTTCTGAGCCCACGGACATGAAAAAAAATGTGGTGAGGGAAAAATTCAAAAGTTATGCGG